CCTATTAAAGAAAAGCTGAAGCCTTTGAAATCCTATTGGAGCAGTGAAAAATTGCCGCAAAGTGAGCGTTTCCTGCGAGATTTTATTTTAAATAAAGGGTAAATCTAAACGTTAGTTCACTTTTTCAAATATACAAAAATATTTATCTTAGCTATACAAATGCAAAATCTTCCGATATTCCCACTTATGATGAAATCGTTGGTGATAATCAACCTTTATCAGAAGATGAAAAAGAACTCGAAAAACAGGCAGAATTTGAACAGAAATACAATTTCCGATTCGAAGAACCAGATGCTGAATTCCTAAAACGCTATCCGAGAACCATAGAACAGTCGGTTCGCCAATCAGATGATCGTAGAAAACAAAAACGCCAGGAAATCAAAGAGCGTAAAAAGCATGAGAAGGAACAGAAAATGAAAGAACTAGAAATGGTTAAAGAAATGAAACGCAAAGAGATTGAAGAAAAAATACTTAAACTTAAAATGGTTACGGGTAATGAAGAACTTGGATTTAAAGATGAAGAACTCGAAGAAGATTTCGATCCTGAAGCACACGATAAACGTATGCAAGAGATATTCAATGAAGAATTTTATCAAGTAGATGAAGGTGAAGAAAAACCGGAATGCCCCTCGGATATTGAAGAATTAAAAGTGGAAGATTGGGATAATTACGATCCAAATGCAGATGACAATGATGACTATTATAATGATCTACATTGCGAAGATGAAGACTTTAACATGGACTGTGATTACGATCCTGAGGAAACTAAAGAACAGATGCAAAAAGAGCTTATCGAGAATACGAAGAAACGAAAAGGCCGTAAAGGGCGAAAGAGTCAATTCATGGAAATGATAAAGACTGAAAAGCCAGCATTTAATCCAGAGGAAGAAAAAACCTACGAAGATTATATTGATGAGTATTACAAGTTGGATTGTGAAGACATGATTGGCGATATTCCTTGCCGTTTTAAGTATGTGGAAACGACACCAAACGATTTTGGTCTTACTATAGAAGAGGTAATAAATATTAGCTTTATAGCTCTGCGGCACTAACTATAATAACATACACACATATGTAGATATAGGAAAAAAATACCAGCTTTAATTGCTGATATTATGCCTTTCAGATTCTCTTAGCCAAAAACAAGGAGTTAAATCAGTGGGCAAGCTTAAAGAAAGCTATTCAGAATAGACCAGAACACATAGAAAAAAAAGATCAAAGGTTGTACAAACTCAAAGCAAAAAATGAAGCACTAAAACGTAAAATATTCAAAAGTTTATATGACGAAGGGTAAGAAAGCAATTTGAAAAGGTCATAGCTGTATAAACTGACAAATTTTTGTTCACATTCATAGCTCTGATGAAGACGATGGAGAGGAGGAAAAACAAAATATCCAGGATGAATCTAACCAGTCTGAGCCAGTTACCCCGCGCGCAGTAAATCAAGTGGAGAACGATGCAAACAATCAAAGGGCGAGAAGAAAGAAGAAACGCAAGTCAAAAGTGGCAGACAAACCATATGATATCGATGCTGATGCTGAAACTAACGACAAAAAAGTGAAATTATCAGAGGATTCAAACTCGAAAGTGCCCGCTTCAACTGCTGCTCGTCTAGAGACAGAAACAAAGAGTAAAAATAAGCGAAAAAAACGCAAAGCTAAACCCAATAACGCGGAAGAAGTTACTACAAAAACTCCAGGAACTAATACAGCAGGTCAACAATTAAAAAATAACCAAAAGAGAAAGGTAGATCAAAACAAGCCGAATCCTTTTAAAACAAACGACCTTACCATAGCTGATGTGCAGCCTTCAACAAGTACAACTAGTCTGAAGGTGAACACACAAAGTAATCCGAAGGATAGAAAAACAAAACAACATAAGTCAAATCCGTTTAAGCAAAATCAAAATAAAAAAGGCTCTCTAAATGCGATTTCGGAGAAAAATAAATTTGCGGGAAACAAGGTACAGAAAGCGAAATACAAATCGAACTCGAAAAAATTCCACAAAAGCAAATCTACAAATAGCGACGTCAACATTAGCGACGATCGTTTGAAAGCGTATGGCATAAATCCGAAAAAGTTTCATAAAAAGCAAAAATATGGAAAGCCTCAAAATTAGTTATTTTTTAAATATGTAAATATTATTTATAATTAACAGTAGCAAAATAATATTCGGTTTGCTGGTACAAATATTGACGGTTGCAACAAACGTATGTACAATTCAATTTAAACGAATGCAACGTTAAATTTATAAGCCATATACGGTGAACTTGTATGTACGCACCAAATTTTAATTAGTATTTTGTATTTACAATGAGAAAGCTAAAATAAAAAGAGATACTAATTTTTAAACACGATCCGCCTTGGTTAGGTAATTTAGGTAACGATATGTTTATTAGGGTGGGCCTCAACCCCTCAATCGGTAATACCACGGTTACAGACCTCACATATAAATACAGATTCCTCTATGTAGACTCAAAAAATTAAAATTAATTTTTTCCTCTAATACTCAAAATCGATACTACTACAGTCGAGGATATCACATAAATTTTGGTCCCGATTGGAGTCGGTTAAGACGTCTTCATAGGGTAAGCTGAACTTTGACCCCTGTGCGGCACGCCTTAACCGACTTCAATCGGCATCAAAATTTATATGTGATATCTTCGATTAGACTGTGTTTTGGGCGCAACTCAGGATAAGACAGAATGAAAAATTTTCTCACCCTAGTAAAACGTTTTTTTTCCATAGAACTTTGCTACTGAGGCTGTGTACAAACCGGTAACTTTTTCTCCGTGGTGAGACGGGGTGGAAAAATTTACTATGGTGTACGAATAAATTGAATTTCGCTGTGCCAAATGCAAAGTAAAATTTTGATAGTTGAAAAACAACAAACGCTCATGTGAAAGCTCTGTTTTTTGCGTTTTGCTGAAATTGTTAAAATTTATATTTATTTTATAACTTGGAAGTAACGTACGCTTGTTTATGCTACATTCAGCTTCCATTTTGAACATGACCCTATACTACCGACAAATAATGTTATGTGAATACATATTAAGAAGCTGTCAAAATTTTACCTAGCCCTATGAGCTAGGTAAAATTCTGGCGTTCGTATTCACCACGAGAAATGTTAAAGTTTTGGTTTGATCCCTCAAAATTTCATACATGACTGGCAGAGGCCCTAAATAAGAAAATAGTCGAATCGGACGTTCTCGATTAATCGATTCAAACTATGGTGAAATAAGACATAACCGGTTGTCTTATTTCTTACTTCATTTCGTACTTTGGTCCTTCAAAATGCAACCATGTGGGATTCTTGCAAAATACCGTTATTGGAACCGCTTGTCAAATTTATGTATTGCATTTTTGTTTTTTGTGTAAACTTAGAATTGAATATGAAAGCATATTTAGAAAAATAATAGCAATTAAACGGGGAAAAATTTACCAAGAACGGGAAATGGATAACATTAAAACGCCAGAGGCGCTTGATTGCAGCTATGCAAGTCTGTGTTGCTACTCGCCGGTGATTCCATTTACCGGGTTTGGCGTCCTTGGTGTTACCTGGACAGGAGCGGCATCAGCTGCTGCAACTGCTACAGAAACTTTGGATGCGTCTATGTTTCCTCCATATTCAAATTCCGTCGAATTGTTTACGAATCGGGTAATAACTTTATGGTTTGGTTTTGTTAAAAATTTAATTCTTAACTTTTAGCGAATAGAGAAATCCCACTGGATATGCGATTATTCCGACGATATTTTCCAAACGTTGCGCGAAACAGAGTTACGCCGAAATGTTTTAAGTTTTCAATCGGAACAATGTGGTTTTCGACCGGTAATGTTGCGTTTATTGAAGGTGGCGACAGAAGTGCATCAACTTTCGCGAACAACTTTACATTTAGGTGAGAATATTTTTTTATTTTATTTTTTTAAGTGAAGTTAAGTTACTTTTAGCGCGCGTATAGATATGCACCTACATATGTATACGTAATTCTACATAATTTGCTATTGATTAATTTTTAACTTTATATCCATTTCAGCGCTTTACTTGTTAGATGGTTTCATGGACAATTACACCATTCGAACAGAAAAACTAAATTTAACAGCAATAACATGTTTAATAGTAGCTGCCAAAATTGAGGAAGCCGATATTAATGCACCAAAATTTGCTGAGCTCAATAAGTTAGTTGGTGATGTTTACACATTGGACGATTTCCGCAAAGCCGAAATGAAGGTTTTAATGCTATTTCATTTCGACTTGATTCGCCCGACAACGGCCACCTTTGCTGAGTACTTTGCTAATAACATCATAACGCTGGACGATTTTCATTTATATTTGCAAAATTGGCATGGTGGCATATCCGATTTTCGTACCATATTGCAGCATCAACAACTGAACGATGCAACACCTGACATAGTACCACCTTATTACCGTACTTATGAAGAAATGGCTACAGTTTTAAGCAAGTTATTGTTTAATCTTGTAGATGAGACTTTGAGCTGTACGCTTACCAATCATATTTTAAAGTTAAAAATTTTTTTTTTTATTGGCATAGTTTTTTTTTTACAGATATCAAGTTCGTCAACGCCAGACCATCAATAATTGCTGCATCTTGTATTGCAGCTGTGCGGCATCTTTCCTTCGTAACGCCTCTTTGGACGCCTTATCTTGTAAGTGTAACTGAATGTACGCAGGATATGATCGAACCTTGTATGGAAGCTATAATTGCCTTGCATAACTTACATATAAGTAAAGTGCAAGCAATGCTATACGCAGCGGCTAAACTATCGAACGCAGGAGCCACTCCATGTGATAGTCCGGAGTCTGGTTTCGTATCTATAAGCGATATGAAATCTGAATCGTCGGAAAATGAAAGTGACCTTGGTGAATGCAAATTTCCCCAAACCGAATGTACGGTAGTTCTAGGCAAGAGGTCGCGTTCAGCGGCGTTCAGCGATGAAAGTGACGACGAGCAGGAGAATACTTCGTGTTTGAGCCCTAATTTCCCGTTGTTGGGAAAACGTAGGCGAATGTTAGAAAACGATGATGGTGTTATTTAGCTATAAATTATATTGGGGTTTGTCTTCAATAGTAAGTTTTTCTTAAATACTTCTTAATTTTTTTTAGTTATTTTCTTTCTTCTCTCATATTGAATATTCTTGTTATGTTAAACAGATACAAATGTATGTATATTCCTGGCCGTTACCGTGGTTTGAAGTTTTGGTTAAACCTATGCAAAAAATTGCAATAAAAAGAAAAAAACAGATTGTACAATGGAAATAAAATATACCATTTCAGAAGCTTCTTGGGATTTGTTAATACATTTTTTAAAGAATATTTGCTTATTGGATGCCTTTTGACCTAATCAAGTTTTGGGTTGCAAGACAACTGTTCAAATTATAAAGTATACATATATGTACATATATATGTACTTCTGAACCCTTAACCTGCATAACTTAAGTTATATGATTTATATAATTCAACTCAGCAGAAAAATCGTAAAAAATCCAAGGTTTCAGCAGTCGGTTTCTTCGACTTTATCCCGGTGGATTTTAGGCTTAAAAATATTCGGGCAGGTTCTGCAATTCACTTCCGAGTGAATTTCAACCCCTGCCAATTTGAATTCAAAGCGAGTTTGATTGAATTGCAGAACCTGTCTGATAAATCAAATAGTAAAATAAAAAGTGGTACACTAGATACGAATTTCCAACATCAATATGTTTGTTTTATTGTACAAATAGAGTACGAGGTCGCATTTATTTAATATCTAATGTGCTATAAGATTTAGGATTACACTAAATACGTACCAGCAATGTTGAAAAGTGGACAATAGGTGCGTTCAGAAATGCATCAGTATATTTTATTTCCAAACTATATGATGGAAATGTCTTATTTACGCAATTAAGTTCGAATTCGGCTTTTAACTGTGGTTGCGCATATTTGACATTTCCATCAATTATAGTTTAGAAATGAAACGAGACTGATGCTTTGGCTTGATGCATTTCTGAACGCACACAATTGTAAAGTAGATACATGGAGACTTATCTTAAATAGGCAATCGTATGTATTAAATGTACATATATTTTACTGATCAGACTATACATACACGTTGAAAGTTTGAATATTATTCAATTCTAAACTAAAAGTCAAGATATCTACATATATTACAACCTTAAGAGACTGTAGTACTAATTTCATAAAATTTTAAAACAAACTTACAATTCAAATTTTATTTAAATTTTTCGAAGAAACTAAAATTCATTCTTTCAAACATTAAAACATACAAGCGAACAATAATTCACTTATCTACTAAAATTTATTTTCACAGTTTAAGGAGTAGAGCGGTAACGCGTAAGTAATACAGGGGAATGATTTATACAACATTTACATTTTCTAGCATATTAGCTAGTTCAAAAGTCGTAATGCAAAGAAATGAAACAAGTTTTTCTATTTTCCTTATCGTTGCATATCACGCCGCTTCAATACGTCAAATATAACATCAGAAGCATTTTGCTCATTGTCATTGTTAGAATCATCAGAATCACTTTGTTCTAATAACGGTACAGTTTGCGCGGAATGTTTCTTTTGCAAAACGGCAGTCAATACGTTTCCGCTTGTAATTGCATTGCCACTAGATTGATTGTTGCAATTTGTAGTGGGACTAATGTTGGTCTCATTGAAACATAATTCACCATCATCCTCATCCATGTTCACCGTCTCCATTTTAGTAAAAGTTAAATACTTGTGTAGTAAATGCATGCAAATACCGGCTAAGCAAACTATTAAGCCAAACACGTTTATCAAGCTCAGCTGGTCTCCATTAATTTCCACTCCCAATGAGAGTTGACAAATATCCTTAAGAATGCAAGAATGTGTATAGTTTTATGATTATTTAAACAAGTTTGTTTTGAAATTTACCTTGAAGATGCCGGCAATTGAAAGCGTCAAGCCAGATGTTTTTGAGAGCACCAAAAACTCGCTGCACTCCATTAGGAAAGCCAGCACAGCACCAAAGGTGATATAAAAAATATTAATTAAAATTACTTCGTTGGATGTATTAGATAAATCGCGAAACACGTCATAAAGCGGTTGACCTGGAAATACATGTTATTTGTGAACTCATTTTTTCTCCTCAAGTAATTATTACCTTCAAAAGTTACCAAGAACGGCAATAGCGACGCTATCATCCATGGTTGCATGTAATATATCATATCTATGGGATTATGCAAACCTAATTTTGATTTTTGCATAACAAATTGGGCGAAACTCCATCGAATGCCACTGCTAAGCGATGCCAGTAGCAGAAAAATGAAACCAAGTGCGTTAAATTGTGCTGATTCATAAGTGAACATAAATAATCCTATTGCAATGAGACCGACGATAAATATGAGAAATAAGCTCTGCAATTAAAGATTAATTTCAAATCAATGTACAATTTAGTAACATGTTAATTTTAAATATACCTTTTTTTCTAGTCCAAGCATTATTGCAAATATCAATATAAAAACTATGGTTGATGATTTAGTCATAGTATATAGAGATATGGACACCAGCTCAAGACCCCAATTTGAAAATCCAATGTCGATGCCACTGGCAATACCAGCTGGAGCCATTTTTTGCCATGATGTGCGTAGATCTATTTTGACGCACGTTTTTCCTACGCATAATTTGTAAATACCACGCACAATAGCAGCAAGGCAAAGTTTCAATACCAAATGATAGGTAACGATAGTTAGGGGAAATTTTAATTTCTAAAATAATAATAGGTTTGAAAGTCATTAAAAATGCAAAGAGATGGTTAGAAATGCATAAACGTGTGTATGTATGAATGTATGTACCTTAATTAACTTTTGCTGATAGAATGTTAGCGATATAGAAAGTGCTAAATAAAGTAGTATAGTAGCTACAGTTCCAACAGCCATGTGCATGATACGTGAACCCGCCCGGTGAGCAGTTGTTGCCGGTGATCCCATTACTCCTCCTGATTCATTATGGACACTATCCCGATCACTGGCTTTTCTTGCCAAATGCCCATTCACATAACATTCTTCTTCATCGTCATCACTTTCATATCTAATGCGATGTTCTGTACCCAATTCAATTTCTTCGTTTTCGTCGTCGCCGTCATCGTAGCGTCCTCCAAACGTAGCACGCCTTAGTAGACCACTAGGGCTAGCATCTTCCTGTTGGTTGCCATTGTTTAGGAGCTCATAACGCGGCTGTGTCATTATGAAATTCGATCAGAAACTTTGATGATCCAAGTTTCAATAATCTGTATGCACGACAAAGAATTTTCTGCTAAATTTTTAACGAGCATATGCATGTGGAAATATTTCTACCGAATTTATTTAGGTGAGAAATGCAGGTTGCAGGCAATGAATGACATTAGTCAACGTTGTGGCAGTCGGGTTCCATATGTTGTCTTGTATTTGTTGTTCAGCTTGAAATCCTTTGTTTCCTAACGGCCAGCTTCTCACACTCTTATGTTCATAGTATAAGATTTTACAGACCTATTAATTAATTCTTTATCAGTTCTAGTTCAATTACTTTTTAGTCTTAACACTTCTCGTTTTGCAGTTATTTTACTTAAATTCCAAAATGAATTACAACCGCCTTGCTGACGTCGCCATTCTTTGCACTGTTTACTAGTAGGAATGTCGGAAAAACATCGATGCATCGAAAATATCGATGTTTTAAATGTTCCCCTCGAGGTACGTAAAAATAGTCGATGTATTGATACACAGCTTTTTTTTTTTGAAACCTGACATTTGAAGAACATTGAACCATCCTTTCCGTTTTTCAATTGTGCAAAAAAAGAAGTGAGCTGGACCCATATATTTTTTGAAGACTCTCGATTGCAGGGGTTTCATCCATCTCATTCAAACAGATAAAGTTTGAAAAATGAAGCAATTTCTTCCAGCAATTTAAGTTATTTTAACCAATTTTATTGATCACGGCATCCGCCAACCCCTACCCCGCCCCCCATATTTCTCTGTATAAATTATATTATATATGTATCAAGTAATTAAGAAAGAATTTTTAATGATTTAAAAATTATTATTTTTTTTTATTTCTATGGTTTTACGGAAAAGTTTTTAACCTAGTTCAACAGTCCGTTATAAACTCAATTAGCTCAGCTATAGTAATTAATTTGAAATTTTGTACAATTTTGGGAATAACATATTTTGTTGTGAAATAATATCGAAAAATGCTATGTTCTTATATATCGAAAAATATCGATTTATATTTCGATGCATCGAATCAAAGAAATAAATCGATGTATTATTGCCACCAACATCCCTACTGCTGTTTACTAGTGTTGTTGTCTCGGTTTTCCAATTCGACAAAAGCCAATTGGCGACCACTGTTGCCTCATCCCAATGCTGCCAGATGTAAGTTAATTTAGAGGTCTGAATTTATTATTTTTTTCCGATTTTTGAACTTTTTTGTAATTCTTAGCCGGTGTATACGTACATATGTTTGTATGTCGTAGCCTTCCCCCGGTGTATATTTAGTTATAAGTATAATTACATACAAATATATTTTCGCAGAGCATAGTGTCTTTACGATTACATTTTTATCGAAAGTTTTACCCTTAATTAACCGCAATTTAAGTGACATGTCCTCGCAAACCCCAGCCAACTTCGTGTGTATCCTCATAGCGCCGGCGCATTGCTAAAACGTACCACACATAATGGAATGACGGCCGAACAGGAGTGAAAATGCAGGCAGACGAATGTGCAAACTGTCATTTCCAGAGTACACACAGAAGACGGAATTCGTCCTTACCGTGTCGCATCTTATAAAATAAAAATTGGACGTTTTCAGCTCAATGCAACATTATTAAATGCTAACTATATAAGAATAAAGTGTAACAATTGATTTAAGAAAACTTGTGCTGCCACAAAGAAGTAATAAAGGAAGCGGATGTGACTAGCAGAATTTGCAAAATGTTATTACCCAATGCTGTGCAAAGGAAGTGGGAAGTTCCATCAGTCTGATGTCGTTGCGGGGAGCTAGTGGTTAAAATAATAGTATGTACCGTAAAAACAAGCCAAGCATAATTAGGTAGACTATAACATTGAAGGCGAACAAAGGAAAGAAAAGGAAGCTGCTCAACGGAAATACGAAACTTTTTTTTTTACGAGCTTTGCAGTAGAGTCGAGCTCAAATCAGTTGAGTCAGCAGTGTGTTTTGACTGTTTGTGTTGTTGTTCTTAGTCGCATTGTGGCGTCAGTGAAAAACCTTGGCTGACTTAGAAATGAAAAAATCCACCCAACTAATTGTGCGTATTGGTTGACAGCGGCGACGGCGACGGCGACGGCAACGGTGACGGCAACATC